TCCATGTTGTACCGCTGTTTGTAATGGAATTGCTTTTCAAAAAGAGTTCAGTCTTACTCAGAATGTCTTTTGTCGTTCACAGTGTTAAGTTTTTTGGGGGCTAGGCCTATAATAGCGCTTTAAAGATGTCTTGCGTGTGATCGAGCCATCAGCAAGGAACTTCCCTTTTGCCTCCAGAACGCTGGCAGCGAACACATTTTATTTGTAACGATGACGCATTACTGCCCGCGCTACTTCAAGGCTATTACTTCTAAGAATAACACTTGGGGGCTCGAGGCGTTACTTTCACTGCAAAGATCGGCATCCCCATTGATCGACAGGGGAAGACTGACTCATTAATGCAGGATTGTTTCTTCATTAATGTTTCATAATTGCGTATCATTTGCAGCGTACCAGATGTTTACGTAATTGATTGACATGGGACCTGCTAACGACTTGCTAGCGTTCTAAAGACAATGGCTTTTGTATCAGGGTTTTAGATGGTTAGAGAACACTCCTACGTCGCGTAGCTGGAAGGAGGGAAAACTCACGGCTAACATCAGATCGAAGCTTATTTTAAGGCCCTGGCGCGCGCCTAGAGGAGAATACTGTAGAAATACGAACGCAGGTTGTGTGTTGACGGTTAAACACACTCTCTCTCTCTCTTATAAAATAAAAAATAGTTCAACGACGTATGTTCACGCACATACACAAACACATGCATGCATACACATAAACACCAACAAACAAACATACATAAGCGCACGTGTACACACACACACACACACACACACACACACACACATGCACGAATGTGATACCACCACTTTCATATCACTGTTTAAATCAAATGTCTTTTGTCAATTCTAGCGATGCATGCTAAGAGTTGCTATAATTAGGGTATTATCATGAGGTGCGGTGAAGGGAAATTTTACCCTTTCTGTGTACGTACTTTAATAAGTTAGCGTGATATTTTTTGATGATGGTATTGCAGCCTTGATCACAAAACATTGATTAGGGATCGAACATAAGGTATTTGAAGACAAACAAAACAATTACTGGTTGCATGCTGGACGAAAAGAAGACACCAACGCACTTATTCAACTGCTGTTATTTCATTCCCTTCTTTCAAATTAGTAATTTCCTACGGAGTTAGTTGGTGCTAAGTTGAATTGTGAAAGCATTGCGTGGTTTCCTTTTCCGTGTCGTTGGCTGCACGGCTTTTGTATGGTACGTTCTCGAAAATTGGTTCTAAATTGCCGACAGAACTTAGCGCATTTGTAATTTGACGTTTTAAATACTAGAGTCGCTCCTCTTTGTTTGTATAAACACTTTTCTGTGTGTTTGCTGAACAAAATCATGCAAATGACTTTAGTAAACGAACCACGAACCTAGAATTTGTCTCAAGTCCGTACAATTTTAGCGTCTTCATAGAAGGAATGAATCTGTAGAATTTGATTACATACGAACTCGATATATTCGAACGAATTCCAAACCAATAGTTGATGATTACAATCTACCACGCTTCTAGTAACTAGTCAACATATCAGATACTTGCTGACAATGATTGCAATCATTTCCAGACACTGTGAACCGTGTTCCTTCGCGTAATAAGCAGTTCTTTTTTCCCCTGGTTGATATCAAACGTTATCGTTGGTGAATATCACGTTGTGACCAAATCTAATGAGCGGTTATGCACGTGTAGTGTTGTTAGGAAGCAGTGCTTTATCACCATATTAAGACATACATGACATGAATGACTCTTAGTCGAGTTTGACATGTCATCGTGTCACCCTTCAATGATGTCATGATTGGCTGAAGTTTAAAGTACTGTGACATTTGATACCATTTACAACTGCAAGAGAACTTTGGACGTAGGCACCCGACTTCACTCTTGTGTTCTTGTGCTTTTTTATCACTAATCATTCAGTCAACAAAGCAATGCCAAGGGAACACATATCGTAACTTCTTAGAATCACACAAGACATGCGATATACAAAGCACCTGTTGGTTTGGCCATTAGCGCTCAGGGTCCTCTCAGAACGCATCATGTTTAATGACACTGAGATCTAATACCCTTGCTTAATGACCACCAAGTGGCTGATTCTTCAGGCTCTGAAAATCAATAGAAAAAAACGCATGTCCTGGCTGCTATCGACTGACTGGTATGTAACATTATAGTATGTCATTTTGCCAGATGAAGATGCGAGAGAGATTAGCCGCGGGGGTTAAATGTACTTTAATCACTTAATGTGATCATTTACATATGTAGGTCACCTTGTTCACGCCTCATACTTTTTTCAAATTCACACTGTGCGGATACAAACAGCAAAAAATACTTTGGTTTTCTTATTGACAAAGATGGACTAATTTTTGGTCACGGAAAACGTAAATTAATCACTGATGCTACTTGTCCCAGCTGTCCTGGCTGATACCTTAGATCCGCTATTTGAGAATAAGAACTTTGGCGCCACCTATATTCCTAATACAAATAAAAGATCATTACCAAAAACGTACGTTATGTAAACAAAAATATTCACGCAATATGGAGCTTAAGAGGTATAGATGTGTCTGATGAAACTCGTTATCATATATCTTGTTCATCCTAAATGCCAACGCTAGCCTGGCCACTCGCTTTCTTCTTATGACAAGAATGAAAAAATAACTCATTAATAGTCAGTTTCACCTTGAATGTCCGACTTGCTCTTCTCTGTGAGTAATGATACCAGGAATGATACACAGCAAGGGGTCAACTCTGTCTGTAATTGTAATTTCTTTGAAGAAGCTAACTACAGAATCAGAGTTGACAAATGACAAACTTTTTCCAAAGCTTCGTCATTACTTTCCAACTCAACGACGCACATTGTAGATTAGGCTTATACAGAAGACACCGAGCTAAAACCATACAAAGCTCTTGTTTTATTCAAGCGAATTTGGAACCAATGCATGTGACAGAACGAGTAAATTTACACAAGCAATTCCTTGAACAGCGCACAAAATGGTCATCAGGTTTTAGAAGCATATTCGTTTTTGAAAGCATGCAAACTCTTACTAATATATAGAACAATGGTCTCAGCGCATGCATGGTAATGTTCCATCCAAGAAACATGTGCAATCGATTCATCAATGTCAAAACCGCCTCTTGTTTAGCAAATCTACTGTCACGAGCATTCGGTTTATAACAAATCTACAGGGTACTGCGGTTTGGTATGATAACTAGATCATCAACACATGAAAAATGGCACTGAGCGGAAATGTATGTCCAGGAATTCTGAAAAAGCTTCTTGAAACGTATGAGTGTCCGAATGCGATTGTTATGAAAAGTCAACTTAATGTAAAGGCAGAAGACGGGGATCTAAAACAGGACAGAAAATGGAGACATGACAATAAATATACGTCTGTACTTTTGATAAAAAAGACATCGAACTAGAGTAACTCGAACCCCAGTTTTGGTCCATCAACTAGGTGCAAGCGACTACTTGAGACAGACTGCGTGGTTGATGCCCCCCCCCCCCCCCAACTTTAACGGAGCCTGCAATTTTTTTTAAGATCGAGTTTTTAATAATATCCATAAGACAGACGTGCTCAATTCGAATCTTTCATTCCCCAAATACTCCATGAAATCGATTTTCTTGTGTTTTCGATACTTATCCCAAAACGATTTCATCAATTCAGCCTTATTCATTCATCCATTAATTCATTTAAAATTATTTCACCCAAAACGTTTTGCAGACTATCGCATCTTTCCATTCTTTTGCCATTAATATATACGCTTCCGTGCATAATTTCAAAATGTTATGCTTTTTTTACAACTTGCAAACTGAAATTGTATTTTAGCATGACGTAATTTAAATCACATAACTGTTATCAATCACAAAACAAGGCACAAATCGTGGTGCGTAAAAGTCGTTTGCCATTGCTTAAAGTCTCTCAAGGCTTACAAGCGGGCACCGCCTGAAACTCCGGGAAAATCGATACTATTATCACTCTTCATAAATGAATTCACTACTTTTGTTGAGAAAATGTGTGTTTATTATTTGCACGCTACCTTGATATGTGTTAATTATATGACCACGAATCTCATTCACTTGGGCGCACACATCAAGCCTCTGATAGAAAGCCAATAAAACCAAGTTATACAAATCATCTAATGGACGCCTGGTATTTGATGTTGCGATTCATGTTTCTTTGCTGTTGACATTAAGATTTATTAGACCGGACCGAAGTTCATTCCGCCGAAGCGTAGGATCCAATTACGTATTTCACTGATTTCATAAAATTATTAGATTTGGGAGACCTTCATTGGATATATGCGATGCTTTAATTATAAGAAAACGATTGGTTTTAGGTGTGCTTTGATAGCATATTTGGTGTCGTTTTATTTCAGTGTGCTTTATTCCAAGAGATGATTTAGAAAAGGCAACACAAAACAAGTTTGTTTTTTTCCCATTTTAATATCTATAATTGCTCTTGATAACAATCATTTGACTTGATTGTAGTGATTGCCTTCATCCCATTACCCCATTTGCGGTCTCTTTACATGTTCTTTAGAACAGAAGTTATGAAACAATTTGATTTGTTTTGGTTTTGTCAGGACGAAAAATCGATGTATTTTGCACAAACACTTAAATGACATGTTTGTTATGTGTGTTTTGAATTTTAGAGTATAAATATCCTGGAGATAAATCGATAAATTTGGGTACCTTAACTAACAAGATGAGGTGTGGGGGAAGCAAATGATTCCTCATAATAGATGTGAATTTGAACTATTATCAGTAATTTTTCTCGTTTGATGAAGACTACATTAGAAATGATCACGTAATTATCAGTGTGTTCAGGACCACATGTGTAATAACTGGTATACAACACTTGCAAAACGGCCAGATCGTCTTGATCCAAAAAAACGATTAACTTAATTTAATCAAAAAGCCGACTTAAAGAGGAACCTGACTTATATATTCCATCCAATAATTCATTTATATTATACACAATGCAATGGTCCTTTTACTTCTACATTCCAGACAACTCGAGGAAGAATACTCATCGTACGCAGCAAAGGTAGTGCGGCGGGCGTCACTGGCTGAGACAGAGAAGAAAGGTGCCCAGTTGTGTCCCATCTGCCACAAGACCGAGTTGACGGAAGGACCGGATAGAATTCGGTTTGGACAGAACGTATGCAAAGACTGTGCAAGGTTTATATGTGAGAAGTGCGGTTCGTTTGATACGTCACTTACCACTAATGTGAGTGTATTTTTGGTTAATTTTTCTTGCTTTTATAATCAATATCTGAGTTGGTTATGGCACTGGTATTTTAAGGTGTTTTATGTGCGAAAGTCACTCGTGTATTATTGCCCAGTGCATTTACGTATTTATCTAATTTAGAAACCTGCAATTTCTTAATACTAATGTGCATGTAGATGTATTAATGTTAACTTGCGACTACTAAACTTAATTGAAAGATGAGCAGTTGCTGTGTGCCTTTAATTTATGGTATATTTTAACACCGTGTAATGTTTTTGTAATCACGAGCTTATTAGTTTGCTCCGTTACTATTCCTATTAATTATTTACTCAATTCAACCCCATTTAAAATGTCAGCTTATTCAATGAATTAGATACCATGTTGCCAGTTTTATCAAGTGAATTGAATTTAAGGCAATTTTTTTTAACGCCATAAAGCATCACTGATAACCATATAACGTGATGTTTTACATTTAAACACCCAATCCTGAAAAAATATATCGGTCTAGTAAAGAACAAATAGATTCAACTCCCTGCTTGCGAAACCTTATCAGTTTTCAGTAGCAGTATTTTCTTTGTAAATGAGACGATGTTTTTTTTCCTGTAATACATTTGTAAAATTATTTTTTAAAAAATTTATCAAATCATGCAAATGCTTTTGTCTGTAATCAGTGAGCGGATCTCACATCCAATGTCCCATACCCTAAATCTTATAATTCACATTGCGGGTTGGGAATGCACATTGGGGACGAAACTATTGACTTACTTTGTCTAATATTTGTGACGACTGAATGATTTTTCTTTGATCTTCGAGCTGTTTATGGTTTATTGATAATAACTGCATATCCCCTGTGAAAGTAGCATCTGAGCGCTATACGTGATAGTGCTCAAAATGTTGTTCTTCAAGGGGGCAATGTCGGTACCATATATTTACAATGCAATAAGCTAATAGGGAAATGTGAGAGGAGACATTATCGAAATGAAATGATCACATTCAATACAGATTTGCATTGTGAGTGTGTCTATTCAGGTAGATCACTCAGGTGTTTTAGAGTATATGGAAAAATGATCCTGTTGTGTATCTCTTTCTCTCTCTCTCTCTCTCTCTCTCTCTCTCTCTCTCTCTCTCTCTGTGTGTATGTGTGTGTATGCGGTATTTTTTTAAGGAAAGAGGCAGTGGCATAAATGTACAAATTAACAGTGGAGGAATCATAGCAGCACGCCAATGCCAGTACAACATGTGTCTATATCACACGTGATACCCTATTTGACTGCCTTTAATATAGACCCGCTATTGATCTAGCAGTAGATGTCCAGATAAATGTCTCCTCTGGTCAGTAATTCATCAGAGTTTTTTTTTTTTTTCATTAACTTACGTTATATTTACCCGCCATACTCCTATCAAATTATAGTCTTTCAGTGTGCAGATAAGTTACTAAGCTTATCTTGTCACAGTATTTGAAATATTGGAAAGGTCATTTGGAGGCAGGTCACTTAACGAATTGTTTTAAAAATATCTAGTGTGGGTAGACTAATACCGTATTATTCCCGCTTGTAGAAGGGAAATTATTTCGACTACAGGCGGTTCCAGTATGCCGTTTTTTCTTCTTACATCAAACATTAAAATGTTTACACTGCTAACCTGTTTACATTCAGTTTAAATATCCTGTATTTACACACATGTTAACGTTTGCATACGCTTAATCTTTCTTTTTCCATCGGGCGCATGTTATTTTGTATCATATGAATGACATACATACCTGAGTATTGCAAAAGAACCTTTAGATTTGACAAGAAGCTACGTTACAATTGACACAGAGAAGGATATAGATAAAATGTCATCATGACAAAGTTATTTATACAAATGTATATATATATAAATTAACCTAATTTTAGGTGATACGATTTAGGATTGGAACCGTATCTCATTATTTTTCATATCAGTGAGCTAAGTGTAGATCGAGGTCATAAAGAACTCATTATTATAATTATCATTATTTTCCAGTTAAAGGAGTGGGTATGTAACATGTGCCAAAGAAGACGCCGCCTGGTGTTAAGCACGGGACTATGGTACCATGGTTACGAGTCAGGTAAACAACTCCAACAAGTCCAGCGGCTACTCAATACAGCTGAACTCCATGCAAAGGTAAGAGTGCTTCTGCCAGTATTTAAAATAAACTAAACTTTAAGTGTTTGACTGTGGTATCATTTGTTTTATGTATTTTATTCAAGAATTGCTTACCTTTCCCAAACATCCCGAACATATATTTAGTTTCATACATTACATGTGGCCAACTATAGGATTTGTCAAAAGAATAGTATTTATCTTGTCTTATTTAAAAGAAGAAAAAAGTCCATGAAACAAGATTAATTATTAAATGATTATAAAATGATAGGTCCAGCTCAAAAGAGAAGTAGGGGTGCATGTCTCCAGTAACATTGCCCCAGATGTTACATTTTACTGAAGCGCCCTCTGTTGAGTGTCACGATGTCTAGAAAAAGGGGTGGGGCAGTAGCGGTAAATATGCCCATTACAGCTATTAGCTCCGGCTAAGTTTCCGCTCATGTAGAAAAATCGTCAAGATCGAAAATGCATAAAAAGGCACATTTTTGAATCCATACAAGAAATGTCCTTATTTGACCCTTGGAGGCTTTCAATCATAAGATATAACACTTTGCCCCATAATAACGGTTCCACGTCAATAATGGGTTAGATACATGTATCGAGGGTTTGTGGGTTTCAACATTTGCACTATCTATGATTGCCCAGTTCTGTCAACATAATAAAGGCAAACCGCAGCTGATTTGCTTGGTAAAGTTCCTTAAAGGTTAAAAAGTCAATGATCCCGAACATGGCAAATATTGAAAAAACGAGTACTCACTGCTAAATTTTATTTTCAAGACGCTTACCAATAACGCTCGAGGGTCGATAAAATATTGCTGAATGTTTAGTAGACAATGTGTGGGTCTCATGGTTCCTCATCTTTCCATATGTTTGTTGCAGAATTTCATCTTTTTATTATCTCAAATCATGCTCTGACACAACGAATCGGGGCTATACAACTAAGTTGCTTGCTTTCAGATATCAAAACTAACAATTTACCACATTTAGAATAAATTGTTTTCAACAAACGTGGGCTACAGGACCGTAGCCTTTATTATTGAGGTTTCAGATATAGCAACACTGTGCGTCAGAGAACACTGTTGGATGTTTGTCCAAAATAACTTACAGTATCTGATCCGTCATTTAAAATAATCAGAAACACATTACTGCGATCTTTATATATCTCGGATATCGTCCATAAGTTCCGATTCCACTTTATAAAATGGCCCTGCGTCACAGAATATGATGATGGAAGCATTACAAGATGAATTATCTGTCGACAGCGAAATGTGGTGCTTGTGTAGCAATTCTGTGCCTAGTGTTTTCTAATGTGGCGACAAAAACGGGGAGATGCGTGAGATCTAGATCAAAAACGAGAGGAATTAACGACATGGCAGTTTGGCACTTTTATTTGAACATACAAAAATCAATTACATTTAGATGTACCGGTACATAATAAGATTAGAGATCAACACAATTTACAGTAACACTAGAACAGAAATAGTTTTTAGAATAAAGAGTGAAGTGTAATTTCCGCCTAGACTGTCAATTACACAGAGTTGATATGACCATGTTCACATTCATTCCCCCATAGCCAATTCTTCATGCATGCATGCACAAAAGGTACTAATCCATTGTAGCAGTTGTGTTGCATTGTGTGGTCTTCTCATACGTCAGCGCCACCTTCCATATCTTGGTTAGCTCTCCGTGCAATTTTTACATACTATTGTCGATGGATATACCCTAGTAATTCCTGAACATTAAATGCAGGAAGTATGTTTTACTTTCCACAGCACCACGGCACCGAAATTGGCCAGTTGGCTTTAATCGGGACTTAAGGCTGTGTTTAGAATATAAGTTATCGTACTAGCAGGGTCGATCTTTCTCAGCGGGGACTCTCGCTAAGGGTCAGTCAATACAATCGGTTTAATTATCTGACACATGGACAACATCGTGAACCCCAAAGTTTTCCCAACTTTTCCAGAGTACTTTTAAGTTTTGAGGGGGTGCCTGACAATTAAACTGATTACATTGACTGCGCCTTAGCCAGAATCCCCACTGACATTCTGCGAGTACAATAACCTCTATTCTGAACACAGCTTTACTGTATAGCGCCGCGGTAACAATACCGCGTCCCGGATTTGTTTTGATGTTTAATTTGTGAAACAAAATAGGAGTAACTATACAACAAGAACATCAATATCGTTCACATACACCGGAGATAGATACTGTGCGATCTACCCTTAGACAATTACAAAGCAAAACACGACAGTACACCAATGGTGATATTTAAAAAACTTTGTAGTACAAACTCTCGTAGTAGCATCAGCTGTGTTGATAAACCATCAACAATTTGTTTGATGTTGAAATCTAACACGTCCTTTCTCCCAGCGGATACCTCACAACGAAACAGTGGTAAAAGTTTGTAATTAGCCGGAATGGAAAACTCATGTTTATACGTCTCGTTTTTCTTGGAAGTGAGGTTGTGCACGCGGACAGCCCTTTCATGTTATTAATTGGTGGTGTAGGTGCCGCAGAGCCAATTGTCAGAACGCCCAGGGGCTGCTCTGTGATAATTAACGTCAGCACTTCACAGTTGATTGCTGCAGTGTCTCTGATAAATGGAATCATCCGTCACTGCAGATATATAAGTTGTTATTTGGAAATGAATATATCATCCAACAGATGTACATGTACTTACAAATAACGTTGCTGGCAGTTTGGTCATTTTATGATGGGCGAGCATGTTTGATTAAGCCATTTGAAAATAGAATTAGATTTTTCTCATCATAATATGTGCAAGAAGTAACTAAATATTTTGGCTTTTCAACACCTTAAGACGTATGACTCAGGTACCGACGTGTCCAATAACATGATGTTTGTATACATTTGGTGTACTCATAACGCACAATAATTCAATACAATTGGCAATAATTCGTGTCTATATTTAGGGCGAAAAGGTCAAGAAATGTATTTAATATTTGTTCTCATGTTATTTTGAGGTTACTTTTTTAACTTCTTAAAGTAAAAAAGAAACAAAATATCAGAAACTCACCCATGTATTCAACGTACTTTCAGTTCGTGATTTGGCCCCTTGCACAAGTTTATACCTAACAGTTTATAACTTAATTTGTCTTTGTGCACAACATAAGTATACGTTGCAACGTCCTGTTTGTATATATACACACGATGGCATGGAAACTAGTAAAATTAATGTGAATAATGTAGATAAATTAATTTGGTCAGTCTGCAGTATTATTGGGCTTAAAGTTCTACGAAGAAATGGAAGGTACATAGGCCAATTTTAGCGTTCAAGATCTTAGTGTCGCATCTACCTTGAAGGAAAGAATGTTGTGATGCCCTGGTCATCAATCAATTGCACCGCTTCTTGTCGTCGGAAAGTGTACACGTTCATTATGTTTTAATGGACACATATTTACGCAGTCAAATCTTGTTGACACAATGTTACCGCGCGTGGTTTCCTGCTAATGTCTGTTTACTTGGACGTTATGAACGTGGCACGGGATTGATATTTGACTGCATGGCTAATTATAACGCATTAATTGCCTTTGATATGGCTTTCACGTCCACATTTACCGTGATTGCGTAGGTAAAGAATGATAAGTTTACATGAAGGTCGCGTATTTTGTTACAAAAAACATAAACAACACGCCAAACAGGAACATAAACCTCAAAGTGTTCATACCATTAGATACCCACGCAATGCGTTTAGTTAGAATTAGACAGAAATGGCCTCAAGTACAAAATGAGCAGTGAAATCTGAGTCATTAAGATCGAGGAGTTTTCTGCGTGAATGCTAAATAGGTGAACTCTGTATTAAAAGGTAGCGGTCAATGGTACCAACAATTAAACGCTTCCCATCTAATTAAACAGAGCTAATGGATATCTACTGTAGAAATTACCTTCATTGAACGGACTGCTAATAGCAATGGTTAGGGTCGATTTTAAGGCCGTTGACCTTAGAATTGGCTGTTCTTATTCTGCGTTTCTGAGTAACAGGTTGAATGAGTTTTTCTTGTCTGAATGTATTCAGCCTGCAGTTCACTGTCATGGTGGTGAACTAACATGTCTTCTTCATTTAACATTATTGCAGAAAGAAAAACAAAAAAGCGGGATACGCGTATGTCATAAACGTCATACGATAGTGCCAAGAATGCCATGCCCTTTCTTAATTATTTCCCTCCACGCACCTGTCAGTAATACTCCCAGAGCCATACGAATATATAGTTTCAGGAACATTTTGATGCCTCATTATTATCATTTCATTTCCACGTGGTTTTGCAAGAAGAATCAGTTGTTTCCGTTGACCAAACCTTTGGTCACAGTGCCACTACGTCTATTAAGGACATATAAAAAGGTTATTTTTTATTCCATAAATCAAATGTGTCTGATAACAGCACAAGACACAATGAAAAGGTTATGTCGTATTTTATACCACAGTTCTGCTGAGTTCCCTACATATTGCTATTGACATATCTTTCAAGTATTGATAACTGCATCATTTTAACAAAAGAGCTTTTTAGGTAAAACTATCGTCATCAGGCAATGGGGGAAACCTCGTTAACAAAAACATAGTCTCTACGTGATCGGCAGTAAATGCGTGTTCATTCCACTGACGAACATAACTCGTATTAAAGCCCAAATCCAGACGCAGATTAAGACAAACGTTAACTTCAAATCACCATTTGTGCAATAGTAGATTTCCCAAAAGACACGTGTACAAAGTGATGGGGTTCTGTTTCATATGGATAATGCAGGCGTATGGGTGGTACGTATGATATTGACAGATAGCTTAGTGCCCGCTTTAAGCACTCATTCGCGTGAACATTACCCTGTGCCCAGTAAGAAAGATTCTTTTGTGATACAGAATTTGGTTGCTATCGATTTGTACAGGTAACTACCGCCCTAGGTTTTGACCCATTGACGTCAAACTAACCTAAACCTGTATGGCTCTGATAAAAGATGGACTCTCTGTTACACGAACCATCAGCCACGCAAACACGCGCGCGCATACACACACACACAGAGAGAGAGAGAGAGAGAGAGAGAGAGAGAGAGAGAGAGAGATTAACACAGACAATCAATTGTCTATGCTACCTTTTCAGGCACGCTTATGTGACTAATAAATAGTGGTGCTATACTCCAAGCATTCAGGTCGATATGCTAGTATTATACCGTAACTTTTCTATGCAAAAAGAAATCCCCACTACTGTCTAACAGACAGCACGTTTCCCTGCGTAGAAAACCTGAAGTCAATACTGTCCTAGAATTAAAGATATTCCTTTCCTAGAAGCGTGATGGTGTCATATTAACGTAGGTAAGCCATAATAAGATACATAATAAGATACTTAATTAGAGGTAGTTTTGTCAAATACCGTAATAGCCGGGTTAAATGCAAAATCCACTTTAATAATCCATTTTTCTAATACGCAATTTGCTTTTCGGCATGATCAAGCCAATTTGTGCAAAAGCGGGCATCTATATATAGATCCCATGACTCAACTGCGCCTGTGTCCCTGGATGACACAAATACAAGACTGTGAACTTCCACTTATTGTACCTAGATTATGGTTACCAGATTATGACACGAAGACTGCTGTAGGTAGAGTATGGTACCCATAACATGACCTTGATTATGATATCTGTATGGTACCCGGAGTATGGTATCAAAGTAATGGTCCCTGGAAATAATTCCCAGGACATTGTACCTAAAGATTTGTACCCACGGTAAGGATATGGCACCTGCCGGGATAAAATATATAGTATTCAGAGTTTAATATGTAGAACATGGTTCTTATGGTATGGCATCAGTAGAAAGGTACTTAGAGTATGATTCTCAGAATCTCGTACCCATAGTTTGATACGTAGAGCAAAGTCCCTAGGGTTTAGTTTCATAGTGAAGTACCTACGGTATAATGCCAGGAATATGATACCCGTAGTTTGATACCTAGAGTATGGTGCCCAGTGTATGGTATCTTCTATAGTTTATTGCAGTACCTAGTATACATTGGTTCCCAGAGTATAGTGCGCGTGGTTTGAAACCACTTTCTCGAGCGTGTATCCCTTCTTTACACTTGAAAAAAGTATACTCTTAACGCATAGCAATTACTACATTACGTTATTAACCCTGTACACAGAAACATTTATATATTGCTGCACATAAATGAAGTTGCGAAATAAGACTGTGCAAAGCCACACAGGGAAAACACTCGTACGTGACTCACATTGTTCAAGCCCGGGCGTTCGCGTTCCTATTCATAGATGTGAGTATAAAGAGAACACAGAAAGTACAGAGAGTTCTGTTTGTGCTGTAATATTCAAGGGAAATGCGTCAAAAGATTGGCTCACGTGTACATGTCAAGAGTATGATCGATTACACAGCCTTACTCACAGAAACTCGCAAAGAAAATGTAAAACAACAGCAGCACTTGTTTTTTCTTCTTTTTCCTGAAGTCACGCGTAACCACAAAATACTAGAAGATGGTAGAACATTCTATTATGTCGACGTTGGGCAATGTAGAAAGATGATCACGCGTAGGATACAAACACGTGTTATTTATGCACAAACAAGTGTGCTGAAAACAAGAGGGATGAAAGTGTGTACTTATGTGAGTCTGTTTTGAGGATGTTCGCGAATTTGTGCCAGCGTGCTTGTGTATGTTTGCTTACATAACTGTCATAACTAACATAACAAAATTGCCATGTTAACTGCGACGCCGTATAAGAAACTAATTTCAACGATAAAAAATAAGCCTTTTGGGAATTTTTAGAAACATTTCGTATAACGAGAATACTATTCCCCAAATAAGGTTTTAATAAAAGTGTGGCTGAAAAATCCTGACATTGCAAAACGGGTTTATACGGGTTTTGGAAGGCTGTTAATATTTAGTTGGTGCTATTATCTTCTAGGAATTCCGATTTGCACAGCCATACAGCGGTCTAATCAGAGATGTTATTACCGTTCTGAGATAAAACAAATTGCAGATACCAATTACCCGCGAGTTCATAGCGATAGATACACAAAGTTCAATCTTAGTTAACATAACCTACGCTTTTTTATTCCACTTGGACTTTGGCGAAAAGCAAACCCCATCAGAGCGCAGCTCTGTCGTTGCGATTCAGCGAATTATATCTATGTATGGTACATGCCTTTTTCTTCCATTACGCAGGCGTCACACAGGAAAAGACCGCCATTAGAACGCAGCTCTTCCTTAACGCAATACGAGAACCTTAAGGAATACGAACACAAGCAAGAAGAGAAGGAGAAGCGAGAGAGGAAGCCATTAACTCGCCAGGGGTCGCTCCCTACGGACATAGATGAATCAGAGGCGATCCAAAATGGACGGCCCTTGTCCACAATACGAGAATCAAGCCGGAGCCTAAGCAGTCTCAGTAGCATAGAGGGGGACTCCTTTAAATCCGGTAAGTAGCACCCGAACAACAGGGAGACTTTGGTATTTTCTACCGGAAAGGCGTGCTTTGTACCAAATACGCATAGCAGATGTTTGTAAACCCTGGATAGAATAAGAGATGCATATATGTATGGAATATAATGACATTATAACCAAGTTACTATTGGTAGCAATTAAATGGATGCATTTTAACTTAAATACTCATTTCAATATATGTTAATTATTGATTCATTTAGTCTGTTTGATTTTTTCCGTTTGTAAATCTATCCTTAATGCTACATTGCATAATCTTACCACAAGAGATTAAGCCATATTAGCATTGAAAACAGTGCAAATATAGCATTTCTAATATGGGTCAGAATTTACTTACTGTCGGTAATGCAGTTCTCCGTTATCAAGGCAACTAATAAAACGACTCATCCATCAGTTAAATTTCTACATTAAAGTATAAGCCTTATAACCACAAAATCATTTATTGTTGTGTTTTTCGTGGGTGAATAATCTGAGTGGTAATTACCCGCCCCGGCTTCTCTTTGCTGTGGGAATAGCAACAGTATACAGGGAATATTCTACAATCAGATCAGCGGTATAACTAACTGCATATCCATTTTGTTGCTAATGATAAAACAATAACGCGCTACAGGTTTGACAGCAGACAGATGATTCAATAAACGTAAATCTGAGACACATGTCTGGGATCTACTAGAAAACAGGAGCAGAAACATTTGAATAATCACAATATTAACAATAAGCTAGGCCTAGGCGGCGGAAAGCATTTTGGATCCTTTGGAGGTAATACTGTTGGTAATCAACTTATCAGTAATGACCCATATATATTATTGAATTGTACTCGGACCCATGTCTCTCGGTACATTTACACCCATCCTTCCCCCACGTAGTACCAAAAGGGGTGAGAGCCCGTCGGATTTGGGACATTTGATGTTATTTGATGTTCTTTACTACACTTCAAATTATTTTTTAAAAGCCTTTGGCCGATTTCTTTTAAAGCAGCAATTCATATTAATAGATATACAATATAAGGAACTGCGTTTCCTCGACCATTAGCCATACAGACATCCGTTGCCTTTAATGTCTAATAAAGAGATATAGCCTCCTAGACAATTGAGGCGTGAATGAATTATGCGGCCGTCATATTCAGTGGTTGGGAATTGGAGCTATTTGAGCTGAAAGTAATTGACAGGTTCAAAGAAACCGTAGACTTTGACGCATTTCTAGGAAACCGGACACAGTAGCGCCCTCGCAAAGTAAAGCAAAAGCAATAGATTTATCGCCTTGTAATAAGAGTCATGTTTTACTTGTGCCCAAGAACCTCTCAGAAGGAACGCATAAAAATAAATTGGAATACACACATTTCCTTTCCACCCTTTTTTTCCCTAAGTGTTATATTACGATCAATGCAATTCAAAGCATCGTCGTAGTAGGTGCAGTCGCGCGTGGGGGAGTTGAATAAATACGTTTTTTGTCGGTTTGATTTTCATGAAAATACTTCAGGTCATAGACGACAATATATGACGTAGATTTGCATCCGGGGATTCTATTTTGGTAAACATCGCGTATTTGACGAAAATTGAAATTTTCTTTCTAAATATGGTCTTTAATGGAACAGCTCTCATATTATGCAAAGTCGAATTATGACCCTATTTTAGAAAACAATAGTTTTAATCTTAAACTCTTAAAATAAATAAATGAATAAATAAATAAATGTACAAATTATTGTATTTTTTCTTACAGGTCGAGTTCACGATGTTGAGGGAAAGGAGAAGCAGCTAAAGTGCAACAACCAAGTGCCTTACGAAACGCCAGACTCCCACTCCAACTCCACTAATCAATTTTCTTTTTCGCACACGCGACCATCTTCCCTGTCGTTCGATAACAAGCAGGAAAAGCCTCGAGCATCTCCTCCTAAAGAAATTCGTAGGCTACAGCCGTCAGACAAGAAGCGCCCGGAGCCTGACACTTCCACAAAGGTTCCGGTGAAGCAGGCAAAGCACATAGCACCTGCCGACATAGGAGTGGAGCGCCGCCGCCAGAAGGATCTTCTAGAGCTGGAGAAACGCTCAGCAGCAGCAGCAGTAACAGCGGCGGCGTATTCCTCACACCATCACTCACACGAATTTCGTCTGCACAGACCTGGTGCGCCAACGGCACTGCCGAGTCTGGATGATAGAATTCTCCACCGCTCTCATTCCGCGGGGGAGCGGTCGATGTCGACCGATAGTTCCACAAGTCCCCGGAGTCTCTCCCCGTCATTTGGCTCCCCTGGGAGCTACCGAGACAGTCCCCCTCGCTCCCCTTTACTCCGCAAGCTCTCGCCTCCGTTATCCCCGCACGAGGATGTTTTCCCTATAGCGCTGATAGACATATCACCACCGCATGACGGGTTTGAAAATATGACGGAGCCTAATGGATCGCCCCAAGTTTTACTTGAAGGTGATTTAAATTCCAATGTGGTCTTACCCACTACGGGAAACCGCAGGACGAAAACATTCAAAGAAAATGACTCCTTTCCGCCGGTTAAACCGAGACGCAAAGAGGGGAGTTTTGAAGATTCCGATCTGGATTATTCACGGGGCATAGACCTTGCAACATTCGCGGCCACGATAGCCAGTGATACCTACAATTTGACCAGCCTAACGGCGTCTCCGACACACTTATTAAAAGTCGGACCAGACGGTAGTAAGGAATATGCAGACGGTTCACCAGAATCATCGCCTTCCCCCGTCTCACCCATTTTCTTAGAAGAGATTGATGAAGGCGGGCACGATATTGACGATCCAACAGAGAAAGAAATTGATTACCAAGGTACCCAGAGACAGAAAGCAAGGCCTCCGAGCAATGATTGGTCCCCGGTGACCGATCTATCTCCAATAATCGATGTCTCCCCTTCCATCGAGGAGGAAGCTCAGAGAGAGATGCTGGCTCAACAAGAGCAGGAGAAGAAAGCTCAGCAAGCACAGCTGATTCCTGGAATGATCACGTCATACGAGTCAGAGGAATGGGAAGACGAGGACGTTTACTCATCGACCGGGTCTCTGAAGCGTTCTCAGAGATTCGACGATATCAGCACGCTAGGGTTCAATGGGTCAGCTCCCAAAAGACTAATCGAGTATATAGACAGCTTTGACAGTATCGACAGCTGGGATGACATTGACCCTAAGACAAAGGATGAACGCAGGCTCAAAGACTCAAAATCTCCTTCAAAACTAGATGGGGATCCGAATGCAAATTACCCCGCCACATCGGAAGCCGTTAAGCATGTGATATCCGAGACTGTGAAAGCCACTGTGTTTCAGGGAGACAGTTTCAGTGACGACTCTATAACACAAACAAATGAGCACGCCCGAGACGCGCGCGATGATCGATTAAAAGGACATGCTGATCAATACAACCCTACGCAAAGGTCAGAAGCTAAAATTAATTCAAAAGAGAAGGAATGTAGAGCACAGGATGTTACCGTACCGCCCAGCTCTGAACAATTGCAAGCGCTAGTGGCCAGTTCTGTGAAAAATGAACGGACGAAGTCGGATTTCATAACCGGAAATACATCCGCCAGCACAGGAACAGGGTCTCCGGCGCGAGACAAGAACAGTAAGGGGCGACCCACTCCGCTGATTTTAGAGCTGCCATCCAAGGGATACGAGGACGGAGACAGTAACGTGTCTCCACATTACAAGGTTTTAGACTCGCCGCGAACCCCACGCGAACAGCGTCAAGGGAGCGACACTGTAAGAGGAGGGGAGTACAAAGACGAGGGAAGACCGTACAGCCCTGGCTATACGTCTACGGAATACGATGAGGAGACGTACTGGTATCCTAGCCCGGTCCCCACCCCCGAATACGCCACGTCTCCGCCCGTGCCCCGGTCACCTTCGTATCTACCCAAAGAAGAAGAGCTGCGCCAAGCCGTCGAGAAGCTGACACAATACACATCCGATTCCATTTCCGATGACGAGTGGATGAACTTGAAGGTAAATATGTTTTACAGATTACTCTTAGATCTAGAGTAACTACCAGCCAATCATGGTGCTGACGCCTTGATATTTACGGGGTACCTTTAATACGATCACTATCCGGCTGGGATTTGAGCAGGCATCAACGCCGATATTAATCTAATACCTTCATTTCCCATTTGGCTCTCAACTTTATGATTAGAACCTTAAAAGGTTTTAGAAGGTATTCACCAAAGCTGGGAGAAAAACCAATAATCGAATTCAGGGACCACGTGTACATAACCTACAGTTTAACTAGTAGAAATATGTGCAGTTTCCCAATACGACTAACCTGACCCCCGTTGTGTACTGGCTATATGCCCATGATTTAAAATGATCGATCCATATTATGGAGTATATAAAATCAATTAAGGCTTTACGAGGAGAAAAGTCCACATTCTAAAGCAGCACGCGGCGGCGGTGTGCTGTGGTCTGAACGCAGCTCAAATGCCAGATAAACCGCTGGTACTATCAGGCGTGAATTAGCTTTATATTTTATTAAAACACACTGTATCATTACCATGGTAATTGAAGTCCCGGGGAGAATTGTTCTCTCAGCAAATGGTCGATAATACACCGCCGATGATCTCAGCTCATTGGTTATTTTTCTTCACAGGGTGAAAGTAATATGGACGAGGCGGGGACGGCCAGAAAGCAGGGCAGGCGGAGACTGCCTTCGGTGCCTGGCAGTGAGCAGCAGCAACCAAAGCCCGTTCCTCCTCCAAAACCGGCTCATTTACTGGCGAGGAAGCATTCTGGAGAATTGCCTGTCGTTTCTAACAATACTCCGCCTGGAGGCCTCACAGTGGCAGACACTTCTCCAAGCCGTGGCATGTATAAAAACGGGAGTGTCCATGAATCACCAAGCCGAACAATGAAAGTGAATAGTTTTGAAAAAACCGAAGGCAGTGCTGCCCCCAAGGAGAAAGGTGTCCTTGTGGCTAAAAGGGCACAGATGTTTGACACCCCAAAACGAACACTACCGGAGCATAGGACAAAGGACGCTGTGGACGCCGGTAAGAGAACGCCAGCAGTAAAAGATACTCAGGGATCTAAAACTGCAGAACGCAGAGGGAGCAGTGAGTTGAAAAGGCAAACTGATACAGCAGCCAGACAAGTAGGTGTGTCAAAAAATCAAAACGGTCACCGTGCTAGTGTTGAGCTATCGACCGATCAAGGTGATGTCGACGATGAAGACATCAATGTCTACGGGTACAGAATTCCCACGGAAATTAAAACGTTAAAACAGCAGCTAAAAGAGGAGTTGAAATTAGTCGTGGCTACGAGGAGGAAATACTACGACGAAATGGAAGAGATTCGTGCCCTGGAGAAACAGCTGGATGAGATCAGATCACTGGAGGATAAGCAACGCGTGGAGCTTAATGAAAAATTACAGCTTATGAGACGAGACACAGACAGGAGGCTAAAAAGCAGCAGAGATAGGTCAACGGAAAGGGATAGGGGAGAACGAGACGGAGGTGATTCTGTTGACTCGGTGAGCATCGCTAGTGACTCCAGTGGGGAAGACAGGCTGGTCGCTACCACTGCTACCACGTCAAGTGCGCAGCGGAAGTTGACACCTGTTCCTGTGCAACTGCGCATGTCGCCTCAGGCATCACCAAGACGGGCCCGTCACAAGAAACAGACAGCTGAAAGTATGGTGGCCCAATTTTCACCAATTAAAGAAGACAATGATATAGAAAGCGATTTTCAAGCTCGACTTGAAGCAGAACGCATAGCCAAATCTCTAGGCACCACGATACCTGATGTAGACGCACTTCCTGGCGGTACAGAGGCTAAGGCACAACACGCGAGACGATCATGTACTAATGAAGTTGGCGGTTTAGATAATAGCACTTCTTCCCCTAACTTAAGTAAACACGTGCACGATTTTAAAGCATATGTTAGCCCCGAGGCCAAATACGGTAGACTAAGCGTGAGCGCGTCAGACCTCCAGGCAAAACAACGTCTTCCTCATCACCCAAATGATGAGATTGAAAAGAGATATCGGGAAGAAAAGAAGCAGCATCTGCAGTTGGAAATAGAAAAAAGGAAACGGCAAATCGAAGAAAATGCCATGTTGCAAGGGGAATTGAGAAAGATTGCCGAGTCAAATTCCGCGATGGAGATCTCTCAGGCAACAGACTTTAAGCGTTCGCAAAGCCACGATTCGGTTGGCTACAGGACTAGAGAGAACATACCCATCGGAATTATAAAACCTTTGGAAGACAAACGATCGACGTTGCCACAGGGACATGGACTCGATGAACGTCAATCTTCCGACTTCGAGGACATATTTGTGGGAAGAAAATCAATGTCTCTGACAGCCTCTCGTATCGAGAACTATAGCTCGTCGGAGTACTTAGCCCACAAAACTCTTCACGGCGAAGAAAAGGCCTCTCTTTCCTCCTCACCATACAAACAGCAGCAACAACAGTACACAAAGCTCGCGCAGTCGCAGCCCTCTCTCTTCTCCTCCAGCAAGGACTCGGGGATGTCCAGCTCTCATACACTGGCCGAGTGGCCACAGAGGTCCACCGTAGACTTATCTACCTTTTACGACGGATATTCCGATTTTTCGAACCCACCCACGGAGGGGGAGACCAGTCCCCACAGCGAGTCCCCGCCCCCCATGCCGTTGCTGGATGACGTCACCCGGAAATCAAGGCGAATTCTGCATGGCATTGGGAGCAGGCCACTTTCTGAAGAGTTTGATCAAAGTTTCAATTTGTTTGATGGTGAGTAATGTTACATTTTTTCAAGCAAATATGATTTGTTATTATTACGTGTATAAAACGTTAAATGGATTCTCGCAGTTTACTACAAAGTTTTTTTCTCTTCTAAGCCTTTCACTGTCTTTTAATATCTTTTGTTTTTGGTTATTCCAAGTGTCAGAGTATTATTCCATCAAAATCCCCATTAGCAATAGAAAAACACCATCCATGTAAATAAATAAATAATAAAACATCATGCTACATGTATTGAGGAGTAGATCAGAATAACGCCACTACTTGCGCATTCTAATTACAACTACCATGTAGATAAAATGCGTTCCCTAAATTTCTAACCGCTCTATAGTCCCGTCGATCAGCCATGATGGCAAATCCCACCGGAATAAATTTATCGACTATCCGATCCACAGGGACAGTGGTATTCAATCACCCATGTCTTCACCGGTGGTAAGACTTCCCCATGTATTATGCAGGGTCAGTTAATGTACAGCGATTTGCTGCCTTTATTAACTGCCATCATGGTTCGTCAAACGGCAGTTTAATGTAAGGCCTGCATCGTACATGGCGGCACGACGGATGAGTAACCTTACTTACTGAACCCTGAATAACACGTGATCATTAGGCTGTTGATGGCTTCTTTCATAAACAGTTGATCGATATTTTGAAGTCTGTACTAATTACTTAAAAGATATACATTTATTTGCCGCGTTTTGCAATCAATGATGTTAATATGATTGTGGACCCAGTGCCTGCTTTCGTTAATTTGATACGTTAATTGGACAGTTTGATTACCGCCTTTGTCATTATTATAAAAGATTAATGACGGCATTATTTTCAGTCGTGTGTGGCATCAAGTCTACTGTATTTTAACATGATATTTATTTTAACAGCCTTGTTGTCTTGCTTAACGATTTTATGCTGCAACTGTTTTGTTTCGATTTTCTGTTTGCGATGCGTACGGATGGCTGTCATTGAGAAAATAACATCAAAGCGTTTCTCAGGAAATTTAAACTTGGAAATCGACAAGTTGGAAATTGACGGCAATCATTTTTTCGATTTTTTCGTAGCTATGCACATTAATCTTTCTGTGTGTTCCTTAGATGTTGAATATCTGAATTAAAAAATCGGGAAGACCATAAAAGGATTCTGACATCAAAAAGCCCATTTGTAGTGTTAATAACTCTCGAGAAGACGACGTATAGGTTTGTTGTCGTATGTTTTAAGAATCTCTGGCAAACTTTTCCTGGGGTAGTAGCTTCAGCCTGTACCGTATCATTCCATGTATAACAGCACACTTATTACATCTTATTCAGGTCCGTGGGCAGTGGTGTTCGAAGGGTTCCTTTTGTGACTGCCTAAATAAAATGTGAACTAGGTTCTGTGCCAAGTTTTAAGTTGGGTCAATGATTAGGGAGAAATGTGAAACTGCCGGTTAATAACAGGCCTGTAACAACCTGTATTTTATTTAGTACGTACGGTTTGATAGCCTTTGTATGGTTTGAAGAAATCTGTATTCAAAAACATTTTATCCACCTTGGTCCAAGAACTACCTGGCTGCGGTAGGCAGCGCCATAGCGTGAAAAGGTACATGTATCAGTTGGCAATAAGAATCAATTCATTTTGACAAGAAAACCTCCACCGACGCCATACCTACGTGGACACATCCTTTACGCTGGAGTGACATAACTAGTACAATTTATGCCCTGAAAAGATCTCTCCCAACCTCATGCAACGATCTAAGCATATTGAGATTTAATTACTTCTGGGATTACTAACCTGCAAATTG